ATGGTGAGAAATATAACTACCCTTCGGCACCACATCATCCCCCTTCCACTCAATAACTGGCTCATTTGCAAATTCAAATCCAATGGTTTAGGCAACCAAGCGTAGCAAAACATGAATAAAGCTAGTCCATCCCCATGATTACATCAAAATCACCCATCCCCAGTTCAATAAGATCGACCATGGTGTCATGACAACACAGTCTCTATGCCATAATAGATTCACCAACCGGAGTAGATATAGAGAACGACTCATAAAGTTCTTCCGGTTCTATTCCAAATACCATAGCAACATAAAGAGTGACATAGGACAAAATGGAACCAGGATCAATAAGAGCATACACATCATGAGTTTTGGCAGTCAATATACCTGTGACAACATTTGGAGAAGCCTTTGAGCTCTGGAGACCCTTCATAGTATAGAAACGACTAGGTCCTCCCAAACTCTGTGTACCGCCCCTAGCTGCACCACGCCCTGCAGGTGCTGGAGTGCCTCGAGCCAGAAGAGGTGTTGCGGATGTAGTAGCTGTAGAGCTGGATGGCTGTGTTGCACCCCTCTCGATGCTCTAGTGGGACGAACGACAGTCTCTCTGAATGTGACCCCTCATACCGCACCCGTAGCATATGGACTGGTCCATATAGCAGGCCCCAAATTTCATCTTCCCATACTTAGGGCATGGGTGCCTCCGCTGCTGCTAAAATCTCCCACCAAACTAACCCTGCTGGTAGGAACCCCTGTTGCCCTAGCTAGGCCAAAAGCGGCTCCACTGCTGCTGGCTGGGCCTTAATAGAGGTGCACTAACCGAAGACTAAGCAAAGGACTGTATGGCCCAGACGACCCCCCCCCCCGACCCACCCTGAAATGTTGACCTACCACCACCACTACCAGATGAACCACCAACTTTGCCCATGGACAAGTCCTTGATGCTTCCCTCATGCTCCATTCTAGTGTTCAATCTGCGGGTCTTTATGGCTTGAGAAAATGCCACCATCTTACCATAGTTCATATTAGAATTCAAGGAGTTGTAGCAGCCTCATTAATAACCAAGGGGCTAAGGCCCTGCACAAACCAGCGCACTCTAGCCTCCATAGTGGGAAACATCTAGATGGCATATTTGGACAGGCGCGCAAACCTCATATGATACTCCCACACACTCATACTACCTTGTTTCAGGCTCTCAAACTCGGCGACACGGGCTGCCTTAGTCTCGGTAGGCAAGAAATGATAAATGAAAGCATCGACAAACTCACTCTACCTCGTCGAAGGGCTCCCCTCCTCACGAGAGTCCTCCCACATCTCAAACCAAGAATAGGCCACCCCTTTCAGGTGGTAGGATGCCAACTCCACTGCCTCTATCTCAGTAGCATGCATAACTCGAAGGGTCTTGTGCATCACATCAATAAATTCTTGGGGGGTCCTCCTCAGGATCAGTACTTGTAAACACTGGAGGATCCAACTGGAGATATTTGTTCACCCTGGAATGAGCGGAACTCCTGGCTGACTAGAAGAAGTGGGTGCAACATTTGATCTTTGGGCCTTGAAAGCCGCTATCTAAGCCAACACCTGTATAGCTTCCCTAAGATCCTCATCAGACACACTGGGATCGGAAGCTGGGATTGGAGGTGGAACTGGGATATCAGTTGGAGGGATCGTTTCACCCTCAGTAGGTGTAGGGACAAGACCAGTTTGATCAGGAGTAGTGGAATCAGGAAGTGTAGTAGTCAGGGGAATATTCTCACCCCATGGGTGCTCACCCTCATCATCAAGTAAAGAATCAACTGCCGCTCCTGGGCGGCATTGGCTCCTTGTCTAGTTCTTGCTTTCTTTCTAGGTGCCATATACTGAAAATTAGAGCAATGCACGAGTTAGAGGAACAGTCTTACAATCAACTTTATCGCACGATCTAGAATATCAAATATGGGTATTATTCCTAAATACCTAAGTAGCCTCCAAATTATAGATGTGGTCGACAACACACCGATAAGAAGAACCCTACTAGACATGGCTCCGAGACATCCTAGGACACTTTAAAACCTTAAGCTCTGATACCAAGCTTGTCACGCCCCGACCTTGGGAGCGCGACCGGCGCTCTACAGGGTTACCCTGGTCGAGTAAGTCTGGACAATGTCATCTACCCAACTCACCCATGAATAAAGAGAAGAATACATTCCATTAATTAAATAGTAAGAGTTCATGTGAGTAACACTAGTTCAGTCCCTTTAGTTACATAATTAACAAGTTTCCAAAATAGCACGCTCTACATTCATCGTTAAAGTAGAACAGTTGATACAATTACAAGAAGTTTGATTCAACCTTCCCAAACAAGATGCAACCCCCACTATGTCTACGGAGCCTCTAACAGAACCAATAGAGTGCTAAGACAGTGCCGGCAACAAGGCCCCGGCTATACCTCAAAATACTATGTACAAGGGACAAGAGATACAGGACCCCAAAGTGAAGTGGGGCTCACCAAGTCAGCTGAAAAGAGAGAGTGTGCTGCTATTATAGATCGACACCACTTGCTATGGAACAACCTGCATCCATTAAAGATGCAGCGCCCCTTGCAAAAGGGACGAGTACATATGGATAGTACTACTATATAATGCTAATCACCCTCCCAATAGAACAAGAAACAACAATAACAACAACCCAGTAAAATCCCACTAGTGGGGTCTGGGGAGGATGGTGTGTACGCAGACCTTACCCCTACTCTAAAGGAGTAGAGAGGCTCTTTCCGAAAGACCCTCGGTTCAAGACAAAAAGACAAAGGGAGAAAATATTAGTATCACCACAAAAATCATAGGAAAAATATGGACAACATGAAATCCAGAAGAGATATGCAAAGCTAAAGTGATAACTATTAAATAGGTCCTCCACTTAAAAGCGAAATAGTAAGATACAACATTGCCACTAGCTATCTTAGACAAAAACCCTACCAGACTAGTCTCACAAAGGTACGAAGTAAGGCAAGACTCAGCTACCTCCTAACCTAAAACCCTAATACTCGACCACATCTTCGTATCAAGTGTCATGTCTTCGGAAATCTGAAGCCTTTCCATTTCCTGACTGATCACCCCTCCCCAATACTTTTTAGGCTGCCCTCTACCTCTTCTCGTTCCCTCCACAACCAGCCACTCGCACCTCCTCACCGGAGCATCTGGTCTTCTTCTCTGAACATGCCCGAACCATCTAAGCCTCGCTTCCCGCATCTTGTCATCAATGGGGGGCACGTGCACCTTCTCCCAAATATCATCATTCCTAATCTTATCCATCCTAGTTTGCCCACACATCCACCTCAACATCCACATTTCTGCTACCTTCATCTTCTGATATGTGTGTTCTTAACAGGCCAACACTCTGCCTCATACATCATGTCCGGTTTAACAACCGTTTTATTGAACTTACCTTTGAGTATTAGTGGTTTTGTCACACAGGACTCCAGATGCTAACCTTCATTTCATCCATCCTACCCTAATACGGTGTGTGACATACTCATCGATCTCCCCTCCCCCTGGATAACCGACCCAAGGTACTTGAAGCCGCCTCTACTTGGGATGACCTGTTATTCAAGCCTCACATCCATGCCCACTTCCCCCACTTCAGTGCTGAACTTAAACTCCAGGTATTCTGTCTTCATCTTGCTCAGCTTGAAACCCTTAGACTGAAGAGCATGTCTCTAAACTTCCAACCTCTCGTTAACACCGGCTCGTGACTCATCAATCAGAACAATGTCATCGGAGAATAGCAAGCACCATGGCACCTCCCCTTGAATATGGTGTGTTAACGCGTCCATCACCAAGGCAAATAAGAACGGACTGAGCGTAGAACCTTGTTGTAACACCATTACAATCGGAAATTGCTCAGAGTCACCTCCTACTGTCCTAACCCGAGTCTTATCCCCATCATACATGTCCTTAATCACCATAATGTAGGGAACTGACACACATTTTTCCTCCAAGCATCTCCAGAGAACTTCTCTAGGAACCTTGTCATACACTTTCTCAAGGTCAATAAACACCACGTGCAGATCATTCTTCAGTTCTCTGTACAGTTCCACCAACCTCCTAACAAGTTGTATAGCTTCTGTAGTAGAACGACACGGCATGAACTCGAATTGGTTGCCGGATACAGACATTCTTGTCCTCACCCTCGCTTCAACAACCCTTCCCCGCACTTTCATGGTATGACTGAGTAATTTGATACCCCTACAATTGTTACAACTCTGGATATCACCTTTGTTCTTATACAATGGAACTACCGTACTCCACATCCACTATCCCACATCCTCTTCGCCTTAAAAATAATATGAAACAACCCAGTCAACCACTCCAAACCTGCTCTCCCAATACACTTCCAAAATTCCACCAGAATCTCGCCTGGCTTGGTCGCTCTGACCCTGTTCATCTTACGAATAGCTCCCACAACCTCCTCTGCCTTGATACGTCAGCAATACCCAAAGTCACGGTGACTCTAAGAATGCTCCAACTCGTCTAGCACAATATCCCGATCCCGTTCTTCATTTAAAAGTTTATGAAAGTAAGTCTGCCATCTCCTATTAATCTGGATATCTTCCATCAATACTCTACCATCTTCGTCCTTGATGCATCTCACTTGGTCCAAATCCCGAGCCTTCCTCTCTCTCAACTTGGCTAGCAGGAATAACTTGTCCTCCTCGCCTTTTCCCCTAGTTCCTCGTACATACGCCCATAAGCTGCAGTCTTAGCCTCCGTGACTGTCATCCTAGCTTCCTTCTTAGCTACCTTATACCTCTCCATGCACGCTCGCCTCTCCTCCTCACCTATGCTCCCTACTAACTTCAGGTACGCCGCCTTCTTCGCTTCTACTTTACCTTGGACCACTTCATTCCACCACCAGTCTCCTTTCTGCCCACCAGTGACGCCCGTCGAGACCCCTAACACCTCTCTCACACCCTCCCTTATACAATCTGCTATCACCGACCACATTGTGCTTGCATCACCACTGCTCCTCCAAGCTCCCATAGCTCATAGCCTCCCCTCCAACTCTTGGGCTTTATCCTTAGTTAAGGCTCCCCACCTGATTCTCGGTCTTCTTCGAGCAGACATTTTCCTCCTCTTTAGCATAATACCAACGTCCATCACCAAGAACTTATGTTGCATCGCGGGTATCTCACCTTTAATCACCTTGCAATCCTTGCACAGCACTCTATCACACCTCCTGAGGAGTAGATAGTCAATCTGGGTCTTCGCCACCACATTTTGAAAAGTAACCAAATGCTCATCCCACTTCGGAAAGCTAGAGTTCGCAATCATCAACCCTAAAGCCTCAGTGAAGTCTAACAACAAGGTAGCTCCTCCGTTCATTTCACCAAAATTGAAGCCTCCATGCACCTCGCCATAACCACCTACAATTGACCCAATATGACCATTGAAATCCCCTCCTCTGAATAGCTTTTCAGCAGGCGGAACCTGGCGCACAGTCTCATCTAACCCCTCATAGAAGCGTCGTTTAACCTCCTTATCTAGGCTTGCATGCGACGCATAGGAGCTAACGACGTTTAGGTTGTACTCTCCAACCACCAACTTAATAATCATCAATCTATCATTCACTCGTCTAACCTAGACCCTTCTCTTCTGGAGGATCTTCGCCAATTTTTTAGACTTACCCGTCATTCTACCTACATTCCATGACCTAATTCTCAAACCTATAAAAACCCTTGTTCCTTTTACATCCCTTGCCTCCTGACCCTGCCCTACCGCCTGCCTCACCCCCTAGCCCACCCCCCGCTCCCCCAACAACATGACCTCTCTCAACCATCCTAGACCATAGCCACTAGATCTACGGTAGACTAAGGGGAATCACTAACCCATACAATGAAACAGACCAAACTAGAAGAAGACAAGTTGCAACTAGAGGCACACTAGTACGGTGAATAAATGATACGTTGGAATTTTCCAACTTATCTCCTCTTGATACTTAGGCTTTTGTATAATTTTGTTGAGAAACTAAGGCATTTTCTGAGTTTTATTGGCATATTTCAGGTATCAAGTGATTTAGAGAAGATACGGAAGAAAACAAGTCAAAATATGTTAAATTGAGAAAAATGGACTGCTACCAGAATATGCTCTTCGCAATCGCGAACTATCAAATGCGATCGTAGTGGTCCTGGAAAATATGTATCGCGAACGGAGGGCCAATTCTGCCAACACGAAGAAGAAGCTGGTCAGTGGTTCTCAGGTGTTCTACGCGAACTCGTGATCCGATTTGCGATCGCTATGCTTTGCATCAGTACTCTACACGAACACAAGCTTGTTTACGCGATCGCGATTCACAAAAGCTAGGTAAAAATCTGGGTTGTTTTGGCATTTCACATTTTTTACCCCAAAACCATTTAATACACGACCTAGAAAATCTTTGGCATATCTTTTGGCTTATTTTCATCCCTAAGACTAGAGAGAAAAAGTTTGCAATCTAGGGTTCTTGCACATACACTTGGGTTTTGAAGATTTCAAGATTTTGGTAAAGCATTTCCTACTCATTTGTACTCATTTCTTTATTTCCTTACTTTGTATTGAATATCTAAGTGTGTAGTATTTATTTCAACATTTGAATCTTGTTTATGGGAATATTCATGTTTAAAGTGTGGATTAAATATCTTATTCTGCTTATGTATTGAATGATTTTTATCTTTTATAAAGTGAGATATTGTTTCTTTAATTATTCTCGTTCTTTAATGTTTCCAAATGGATTAGCTAACCCTACGAATTGCCCATTAACTTCAAATTAATTTTGGGAAAGATTAATTGGGGTTTGGAAAGATTAATTAACAAGAACATGAGGCTTTAACCCTCATTTTATAGATTCTACCTAGAGATAGGATTGACTTACTTGTAGCCATATCCATGTGTGCTTAATCTCTTAATTGTTTTAGGGATAATTCAATTAGGAAGTCTTGTTAGTCTTTGGAAGAAGCTAATATAGAATTATTATCAGAAGCTAATTAACATAAACTCGCTCATATTTGTTAAATCGTGAAACACATTGTATCGTTACTTGAGTGTAATTCCCAATGCATCCATACTTGTATCCATTGATCATTTTACTTTCTTTCTAGGTTAGTTTACATTTTTGCATTTGGGTATAAACATTTTCTAAAAATAATTCTAAGTGTTTGGTATTGCATAACAAGTGATAATTCTCTTACATTCCTAATCACCTACATATTGTTCTCTGTGGGGTTCCACCTCGACTCATAGTTGGGTAAATTATATTGCATGGGACCGTGTCCATTTACTTTTTGGTAGTGGATTTGGACGTCATCAAAATTGGTGCCATTGTCGGGGAACAATTTGGCGTAATTTAGGTTGTTTGAGAAATAAGCGTAAGTGCTTTGGTCCAAACTTGTGAATATTTGTGCAATTACTTTTCTTACCTTGGTCTATTTTTCTTGTTTGTTTCTTGCTTATTTTCTTAGTTTTGAAAAATGGCATCATATAATGAAAATTGGTCGGATGGTAGTTGCTCATACTTTGATGACCCTTGTCCTTATTGTGGAGGACCACACTCATGGCAAAATTGTTTAAATTCTCCTGGGGGTGGATTGTGTGCACAATCTCAAACCCATGAGTGGAGTATTTGTGATAAGTGTGGTCGTCAAAATGGTGCGGTATTGTGATTATTTGTCCTTCCTTTCCCCAAGCCCCCACTATGATGATTCTACTTTTTGTGATGAAAATTATGGGGATATGGAGGTGGAAGAAGTTGAGCATGGTCAAAATGGAGAGTTCAAGCTTGTGTTAGAATTCCTACTTGAAGGAGGAAACAAAGAGCAAAGTGCCTTGGAGGAGCTTTTGGAAAATAGCCTCCAAAATGATTTGGTGCTTGAAAGGTTGCACTCACAAATGGGAGAAATGCTTGAATCTTTAGAGGACCAAAAAGCCTCAAAAGTTAATGATAGCCAAGAATCTTCCTTGGAGGTTGAATCAGAAAATCCTTCCTTGGCATTTGATCAAAATCAAGAAGAACTCTCAAATGCTCAAAATGAGAAAATCATGCTCATGTTGGAGGCCATTCTTGAAAATGAAGAGAAGCACAACTTTGCACTCGAGGACTTGAAGCAAATTGACTCAAAATGATGAGAATATCCGCATTTTGGAAGATCAAATGAAAAATATTGGTTGAGGCTCACTATGACCACCAACTTGAAAGTGTGGAAAGAGGTCAAGAAGAGTCCAACTCCGAGGAAGAAAGTGAACTTTACTTTGAGGAATCAAGAATTGAACATCCCCCAACCAACTCCATGATTGTCAGTGATGCCAAGAAACATATGGAATTAGAGTCAACCGGTGTAACTGAAAATTTGGTTGAGATTGACTCTAGTCGGGGGAAAAAGAGGATGTCAGAATCAGGGAAGAATTTCAATTTGGAGGTTTGATGTCACATTCAAAGCATTTTTCAACATTGGAATTGTGTAGTGATATGGGGATTGAACTACACGAGTCAATGAGGGATTGCGAGGAGGAAAGGCGAAGACCATACATCTTATAACTTGAGGGAATAAGAAGGCAAAAATGGCATTCCTCACATGAAAGCCAAGAAGTGCAAAATGAAGAAACCAATTGGCTCGATCATCAACTAACCACCCCCTACCGCTCGTGGTCACAAGCATGATTCCATGTTGGGTGCCCAATTAATATCATCAAAGTGGCAAGAAAAGTTGTAAAGTTGATGCGCGTAGTGCCACAACGTTAAATGCGGCGCTTGGTGGGAGACAACCCGTCATTTTTCAAAACTTTTAGTCGTTTTTGAACTTTTCTTTTTTAGAATAGCTTAGTATATTGTTGTTGACTAATCTGCCAAGTTTCATATTTTTTAGAGTTAATTTGAGCAGGTCAGAGTGGTCCGGAGAGCCAAAAGCAGTAGCTGATGAAAACTGCAGAAAACTATTACACTCTGCGAACGCAGAAAATGCCGCGCTTTCGCGAAATACAAAATTTTGCTATCTCTACGCGATCGCATAGAAGGACACGTTGTCGCATCTTTTTGGTAAATTAGTTCTACGCAAACGCAGGTGTGCTCATGCGATCGTGCTTTACAGGTAAGGTCTAAGCCTTAAAACATTGGAAATAACAACGGACGCCCACTTTGCCTCAAAACCTAGTAACGGCTATTCCTATTCCTCTAACCCCTGAAATTATCTCCAATTCTCCATTCTTCAATTCCATTACAAAAGTGTCATTCATCACTCTCAGGTATGTGGATTTCTCTCCTATCTTCTGCGCCTCTGCTTAGTATGAACTCTTGAGATGCAATGGCAGAAACTCTTGAGATTTTAGGGCTTGAGTAAAAAAAAATTAAATAGAAAACTTGTTTGCTTTACATGTCTTGCTTGCTGGGTATGGTTGGTTTAGTGTGGGAGTTGTATTGTGAACAGATTTTTGGGTGAGATGTGTGCTCAACTTACTGAAAAAATGAGCAAAAACTGGTGCACACGACCTGTTCGATGGAAAGCCAAAACAAAATGTCACTGGACAGGAAGAAGACCATCGCAATCGCGATGCCTCATTCCGCGATCGCGTAGGTCTTATTCTGCTGAGAACCAAAATTGTACATCGCGATCGCGTACATCCTTCTGTGATCACGTAGCTTTATTGTAGCTGGAAATACAATTGTTCTTCGTGATCGCATGACAAGTTCTACGATCGCGATTCATTGACGCCCAGGCAGCAAAAACAATAGCCTCACAAATTTTTATTCTAAGGCATTTTGATCTCTTTCTTTGGCCTAAATACCTTCTAATACAATTTTTTAAGTGTCCATACTGATATTTATCATGTTTAATCCTTTTGTAGGTACTTTGAGCTCTAAAATGGATCCGGAAACAAATGAAAATGTTCAAGAATATGTCGAAAAAGTTGCCAAAGAGGAGTACTTTGATCGGGACGTATTCTCATCATTAAGTTGTTCCTGCCGGTACGACAAACAACTGTGTAGAAGTAAGATTAATGAAAGAGGCATTCTCTTGACCGAGCTTGAAGGTCAATGGCCCAAGTTCCATGGAAGATTAATATCAAGTGGATGGATTTTCTTTGCGGACGAGCCAAGAACAGCTAATCATGAAGTGATAAGAGAATTTTATGCAAATGTTGTAAAGACCGACTTCAAGAATGATTTGGTTATTACTGTCAGGGGTAAACAAGTTCGCTTTTATCCAGAGCTGAAAAATGCATATTACAATCTTCCTGATGCTGACAACCAGGTGTACAGGGATAGATCTAAAGACTTGGGCACACAGTGGTTTGTAGGCCATTTGCACGGTGGAAAGATGCCGAACAGGATAAAAAATCACTCAAGGATCGAGTCTTCTGAATTCACTGTCAAGGCCAAAACTTGGCTCTCCATTATCTGTGCTCGAGTCATGCCTTCATAAAATGAGACCGAGGTGCACTGGAGAAGGAAAGGGTGATTTGCGCAATCATAGACGGCATACCGGTGAATGTTGGATAGTTTACTGTTGATGAGATAGCAGAGGTTGTTGCAGAGAGGACTAAGAGTTTATCTTCCCATCCCTGATCACTCACTTATGCTATGAGAT